CAGCAATTGCGAGAGGCAGAAATGCTAAGATGGGATTTCATCGCATTACATATCAATATTAGCAATTCTTATATATATTCGCGCATTAACATCTGAACAGCGTGGAAAAGATTGTACCCATCTACACACTTTAAGAACTATGTCAGATGAGCGTCATATTATCGAATATCAGTAAAGGAATAGTGCAATGGGAAAAGACATATAAGGCGGAACTTTCAGTAGTATGCAATCAAATAATCTTATTGTAGAATATATATCTAAAAACATTTTGTCACGCCAACTGCAGTCCGAAACTTTTTGTCTCTGGCTGAGCTTAGATACCAATTGGCACTCATGTAAACTGGGAAGACTGTAAGAGGCACGCGATGGAGCAGATACTAAGAGTATCCATCCCCAACTGTCATTTGAGTGGGTACTGCTGTTTTTATTGCAGATGTTACTGATCTTTTTGTATTAAAGATTTACTGGCATCACCGATTTAAGGATGTTGGAAACCAACCCGCAATATTACAAAACTTACTTTCAACACGCGGTTTGAATGAATGAAAAAGCTGAAACTAGTATTCTTTAGAACAGCATACAAATTCTATGGAATGAAATCATACACAAAAGCTCGTCAAAAACCTATAGCTCAATAATCAAATGGAATTTGATGCATGTGCGCAAAAATGTGCGCGTTACCACGTACAACCGAAGCACGCAGGAAAATGCGTGTGATGTAAACGTTTGACTCAACTATGTTGGCATAACAGGTGCACATCTCGGTTTCGCATACGCATACCTTCTATCTCCACAAGGATATATTAATTTTGCCAAAGTCAATGCAGCACTGAAAGGTTGCGGTTCTTCCAAAAGAAAACACGTTACACATCTTTAGATACCAGTGGATGGTATTACATGGCCTTGTTCAGAGTGAAAGACGAGGTCAAATATTCCAATCCAATTCAACTAATAAAATTTTTCACAAGACCCTGAGCTTAAACTAGGAAAACGAAATGCCAGATGTAGTTTGAAGAGCGCAATAGAAAGTGGCTAGATGCTGTCGATGGATCTTGGCTTGTATTAGTGAAATAAACTACCATTTATTCTACTAAAATTGAATTTCTGACATTGTAAGGAGATTCAATGTTACTATGTATGCAAACCTAAACCATGTAGTTATGAAATAATTGTTTTTAACAAAAAGGCGCTCTTGAAGTATTTGTACCAAGATGGCGCACAAACTGAACACAACCTGTATGGTTACCAGGTTAGGGTTCAGGATGTGCGTCATCTTGGACCGAATACTTTAAATCCACTTAAAAAAAATTGCTCAACATTACTCCACACCCACCTGGGTTTCATTATATATGTCACATACATTATGTCTAAACAACAAAAAAATACTTTATGTCCCAAAACAATGTTAAGGCCCGATTCTGCCGGACTATCTTATCCAAAATGTATAGTTTACAAAAAACAAATTAAAATATAAACCTCACTGATAAATGGTGGCACAATACAAAATACACCCATATAATGTGAACGTAAATTAATATGTCCGTTTCTGCTTGTCTAAAGCCCTGCTTAGAGTGATATCGTGTAACGCCATATTAATATATTGTAGCCCAATACATGATCTATGGCTGGACATAAAATAACAAGTCCCTCCTTATGTGTGTGTGGTAGGGAGGCCGCTGCCCTCACTGAGTTTGTTAACGTAGTCGCAGACGCCATTACGGGTCATCAGCTCTATTTTGTTACTGTGACGTCGCATTGGCGTAATTTTTTGATGACGAAGTCAGGTGAGGGTCAGGAATCTTATATGCAAAAATTGTTACGCTAAGTTAACTATAGGTAATTGAGGTACGAAACTACATCCATAGGTGTCATTACGAATATCGTCGCTATTATTGTGCAAGCCGTATTTCGTGATTGTGACGTTTCTGTGACGTACTTTTTGGATGACGAAGTCAGGTGAGGGTCAGGAATGATATATGCAAAAATAGCTACGCTAAGCCTAATAGAAGTTATTGAGGTACGAAACTACACCCATAGCGTACACACAGGCGTAATTATTACGAGTTCTTTATTGTCGCTATTATCAAGCAAGTTCTATTTCGTTATTGTGAAGTCGCATTGACGTAATTTTTGGATGACGAAGTCAGGGCAGGGTCAGGAATGATATATGCAAAAATTGTTACGCTAAGTTAACTAGAAGTTATGGAGGTAGGAAACTACATCCATAGGTGTCATTACGAATATCGTCGCTATTATTGGGCAAGCTCTATTTCGTTATTGTGAATTCGCATTGACGTAATTTTTTGATGACGAAATCAGGTGAGGGTCAGAAATATTATATGCGAAAACTGTTACGCTAAGTTAACTAGAAGTTATTGAGGTAAGAAACTACATCCATAGGTGCCATTACGAATAACGTCGCTATTATTGGGCAAGCTCTATTTCGTTATTGTGACGTTGCAGTGACGTAATTATTGGATGACGAAGTCGGGTGAGGGTCAGGAATCTTATATGCAAAAATTGTTACGCTAAGTTAACTAGAAGTTATTGAGGTAAGAAACTACATTCATAGGTGGCATTACTAGTAATCGTCGCTATTATTGGGCAAGCGTTATTTCGTGATTGTGACGTTGCAGTGACGTAATTATTGGATGACGAAGTCGGGTGAGGGTCAGGAATCTTATATGCAAAAATTGTTACGCTAAGTTAACTAGAAGTTATTGAGGTAAGAAACTACATTCATAGGTGGCATTACTAGTAATCGTCGCTATTATTGGGCAAGCGTTATTTCGTGATTGTGACGTTGCAGTGACGTAATTTTTGGATGACGAAGTCAGGTGAGGGTCAGGAATCATATATACAAAAATTGTTACGCTAAGCCTAATAAAAGTTATTGAGGTACGAAACTACACCCATAGCGGACACACAGGCGTATTTATCACGACTGCATTATGGTCGCTATTATTAGGCAAGCTCTATTTCGTTATTGTGAATTCGCATTGACGTAATTTTTGGATGACGAACTCAGGGCAGGGTCAGGAATATTATATGCAAAAATAGTTACGCTAAGTTAACTAGAAGTTATTGAGGTAAGAAACTACATCCATAGGCGGCATTACTAGTAATCGTCGCTATTATTGGGCAAGCGTTATTTCGTGATTGTGACGTTGCAGTGACGTAATTTTTAGATGACGAAGTCAGGTGAAGGTCAGGAATGATATATGCAAAAATTGTTACGCTAAGTTAACTAGAAGTTATTGAGGTAAGAAATTACACCCATAGCGTACACACATGCGTATTTATCACGATTGCATTATGGTCGCTATTATTAGGCAAGCTCTATTTCGTTATTGTGAAGTCGCATTGACGTAATTTTTGGATGATGAAGTCAGGTGAGGGTCAGAAATATTATATGCAAAAATTGTTACGCTAAGATAATTAAAAGTTATTGAGGTAAGAAACTACATCCATAGGTGGCATTACCAGTAATCGTCGCTATTATTAGGCAAGCTCTATTTCGTTATTGTGACGTCGTATTGACGTAATTTTTTGATGATTAAATCAGGTGAGGGTCAGGAATATTACGTGCAAAAATTGTTACGCTAAGTTAACTAGAAGTTATTGAGGTACGAAACTACACCCATACCGGACACACAGGCGTATTTATCACGATTGCATTATGGTCGCTATTATTGGGCAAGCTCGATTTCGTTATTGTGACATCGCATTGACGTAATTTTTGGATGACGAAGTCAGGTGAGGGTCAGGAATGATATATGCAAAAATTGTTACGCTAAGATAAGTATGAGTTATCGAGGTAAGAAACTACATCCATTGCGCTAAGGCAAATTAATATGTCGGTTTCTGCTTGTCTAAAGCCTTGCATAGAGTGAAAGCGTTCCACGTCCTATTAATAAAATGTGGCCCAATACATGATCAGTCTCTGGATATTAAATAACAAGTCTTTATGTCTGCGGCACCTAACCTCAATCATTGCGTGAATTAAATGTTCTTTCTGTTTGTCTAAAGCCTAGCTCAGAGCGGTATCGTATATCCCAGGGTTGCCATACCGTGCTTATTTCTAAGATTTGTGCTTATTTTCTAGCGCGTGTCTTATAAAGTAACGATGTGCTTATTTCTAAGAAAAGTGCTTATTTTTGAGTTACGTGCTTATTTTGTCTCAGAAACATGGATGACTTGTTTATGTTTTGCGTACAAAGCTTCCGTAGAAACGAGGGACGATGTATTTTTGTTATACGCAACGCGTTTAATTTGTTGTTTCCTGTGCAAGATGTTGAATGCTGGATATTGTGTGTACTTGTCTACTTTTCTGTAGCTTCTTACATTGCAGAGGTTGCGTGTGGCCGTTATTTAATGGTTTTCCATGGCCCTACTAGACTACCGTGCTTATTTTTGGCTCCAGGTCGATGGCAACCCTGTATATCACCCTATTAATAGATCGTAGCACAATACATGAGCTATTGCTGGACATAAAATAATAAGTCTTTATGTGTGTGGTACCCAACTTCAACCATTGCGTAAAATAACATTTATTTTCTGCTTGTCTAAAGCCTTGGTTGGAGTTGTATCGTATAACGCTCTATTTTAGATTGTAGCACGATACATGAGCTATTGTTGGACAGAAATTGGTCAGAATGGGATATCGTGAACGTTCCTTGGCGACAATTTAGTCGCTTGTGATTCTTGTTTATTTTGAGCTCTGTACAACGACCCCGATAAGAGAGAGGTCGCTGACGTGTTGAGTTTGTTGACATACTCGTAGGCGCCATTACGGGGGACCGTCGCTATACTTTGGCAAGCTGTATTTCGTTATTGTGACGTCGCAGTGACGTAATTTTTGGATGACGTCATCAGGTGGGGGTCAGGAATCATATATCCAAAAATTGTTACGCCACGCCCACTAGAAGTTATTCAGGTAAGAAAGTACATGAGACCCAAAACCAGAAGAAAAAAATATTTGCCACAAAATACTGACTTACTTGAAATTGTTTACCAGGATCGCGACGAATACTGTGAATCCACGCTCTCTTCATTTTTGGGGAAAGAGTGGAACGATAAGTCTGGTGAGTAACGGCTATCGCCATTACACAACGGTACGCAGCAATGCAATTTGGAACCACCAGACGCACGAGCCGCCATTGCAATCGAAAAGCCCAAACCAGTCCGACGTCGCGGGGAAGCAGAAGACAGTACTTTCCCGCGCATGCCCACATAAAAACAAAATGGCGACGCTCAGCGGCGTAAATGAATACCCTCCATTAAGTGAATTCGCGACAACTGTCGTGGAACATGGCGGGTTCAAATTTGGAAAAATTGGTAACTGTCCGCTGGAAGTGGCCGCTAGCTTTACCTAGGTGGCCCTCGGCTATCGGTGGAGAACTTATGACAGTATAGATAGGATATTTTTATGGAAAATTATGGAACGATTCAAGTTTGGAAAAAAACTTTATATCTATGATAAAAACACTTTATAGCAAAACTAACGCTGCTATTCTCACGAATGGATACTTACTGACTTAGCAGAGAAATTTAGTATTGGAAGACTGTAAGTGTAAGAGGATTGGAACACTGATTACTGGATTAATAATGAAAAACCACAGATTTTATTTTGCGACCTTTAAAGCAAAACCAACTATTTGGAATTGGTGGGATTACCGTATCTAAAGATAAAATAAGAATTCTTGGTTCGTGGATGGGAAATACTGAAAATGCCATACTGCCATAGAAGAAAGTTGGGTGTAAGTGCAAGAAAAAATATTTTGGAAAACAGAAATATGATCATGACTAGCAAAATTTTTGAAGCGAAGACTTTTATGTTATCAAAGGTATGGTACCTATCTGCATTTGAATGTGTCCCAATGGATATTTCAAAAAGTGTCACTGAACTAATTTGGAATTTTATAGGGAACAGTGAGATGGAAAACGTAAGTTAGTGACTAGGATAATATATTGCTGTAGTAAACCGTATTGTGAACTAGGTTGTATGGATATGGTAACTCAAATTAAAAATATTCAAATTAAATGAATATTTTGGTTACTAAAATGTAGTAGAGCTCCAGAGCGAGAGTATTTATAAATAATTATGGCAAACGGCTGGTAACCTCAAATTTATAAACGCTTCATCTTTCCAATCATAATTTAAAAATAGTAAAATACCCAATTTTTATACAACCATTGCCATTGTTTAACATTTTAAAAGTTTGAACTTCCCAAGAAAAGTTGTATTTGATGAAAAGTAAATAGTGAATGAAATATTATGGTGGAATCTTCTTATCCCATTGTCTATTCACCCAGAACATGTAGGGAATTGGATAAAAGGAAATATCATTTATGTTAGAGACATTTTTCAAAAAAAGTTGTGTTAATGTTGCTCCAAATGTTATCAGACATGCTGAGTGGAACTCATTGTCTAATGATAGTAAAAATGTTTTTCGATGTCCTACTGTGTATAGTAGAAGTTTTACTGATAGAATAGAAATTGTTATTAATAACAACTCTATGCATATAATGTATGAAAAAAATACTGGCATAATGGATACTGGATAATTTAAATAATAAGGAAGTAATGCATATCTCTCAGGTGTTCCTAGCACCTCTTTATTTCAATATTAGGACTATAATTTTTCTACAAAATGTGTTACCAATAACAGGACTAATCAAAATTATATTCGAGAATAGGGAAACTTACCAATCAACCCTGCGAACATTGATCAAATGCAAGCTGAAAGCTGCAATCAAATAATATATGGGGAAGAAGGAAAATTGAAAAGTAATGAGCGATGAATCATTGATGTGTTACTTGATAAATCTGTTATGCTTAAGTTTATATAGTGTTATTTCATTTAATTTTCAAAGGTATCTATTTATTGTGGATCAGTGACATGGATAGTAAGTAGAAAAACCCTACAATCATCAAGTGCAGTTTTAAGTATTCTGTGGCATCTGCAGCTGCCGCAAAACCATGTCGGTATTTCCATACCATGGCCGCTACGGCCAAACTCATGGCAACTGACTTTTTAGCTGCCACAAACCAATGTCGAGCTGCCGTTACCGCGGCAGCAAATTGAAAACCAATGGCAGGTAAAATTTTGCTGCCGTAACCGCGGCAGGTGGGCCGTAAAGACAGGGCTGTCTATTATGGTGACAAATATTGGGTAAGTTGGAACGTTTTTCTTATGGATACAGTTTTGATTGATTTGGGGTTAGGGTTAGGGTTTAAGTAGATATAATTCCACATGATCAATTAAAATCTGGTACATTAATTTGTGAATATACCGTTAATACTGATTACTGAATAGCGCTATAAAACCATGGCAAGAGCTGCCGCGGTTCGTTCGTGGCAGGAGCTGCCATGAAGTGGTAAGAACTGCGCCTCACAATCATGGTATGGAGGTTTTTCCTAATCCTAACAAATTTTTTGAACACGTCTCCTTTTTCCATGCAAATTAATTATTGATAATGGTAATATAATTATATATTGAAATGATGACATGTATCAACTATACTTGACTTTAAATGGACATGGATGAAATGAGTACGGTATATATTTTTGATTGATAATTTGGTATTGTATGACTTTTCAACTGGGGGTAATTAAATAAATGATTAATAATCATGATCTAATTCAGAAACTAATATATGAGAACAATATTTTATTCGGGCGCTAAAATCTACCGTAATAAAAAAATTATGTTAAGCAACTTGAAAATGCTTTACCCAGGGTCACAAATGAGCTTTGAAGCTTGTACAGCAGAGAGGGTGGAGGTAACACCACGTATGGGGAAGCGAATGATTGGACAACAGTGTGCAATGATCCTCTCCCGATTAAGAAATCAAGAAAAAAATTCAAGTGAGTCGTTCATTCATGTGTTTTCCTTCCTTGCATAGCGATTCTGCCTATCTATGCAAGGATAAATCCCAACACAGTGGTCGAAACCTTGTCGTGGTGTGTTGGCTTGTTACCAATATCGACCGGCAGTTTAAATACAAACATGTTACCTCCATAATACCATCTATTCAACCCTCATATTAGGAATAAAATAACTAACCCTTTTCGAAGGGCCAACATCTTATTCCAGTCCGCAGTGGATTCAATTGAAGTACAGTTTATTTCGGCCAAAGCATTGTTTTATTAGCGAATTGAAAAGAAAGCAAAATAGATCCCAGCATATGTAATAAAAGATTTTTGTAAATGTGTAAGACAATATTCGAACCAACAGGTTAACACCGTATAACATCACTTGTTTTATATTATCTGACAATTCTCCATCACACTGCTTTTCAATGTGTATTACAAAGTTTCTGAAATATTGTCCAGCAGAAACATCTGCAGCAACTGTAATAAACTAAATATTATAGGGATTTTCACAAGCTTCTTTGGAAAATTTAATGTAGATATGCTGAATGAATAACAAGTATTCTGAAGGTGGGCACAGGAATGGAAGTGAATCTGATCCTTTGTTCATGAGGGGTATCAACGAGCCTTGAGAATTGTGGCAGGCAGTCTCTGGATGACCGCGGAATTCATTTTTTTTACAAAATTGCACCTCGAAGGAATTCTAAGATATCATTTCCAGATCTAGTTATTTCACTCGCAATTTTGTCGGGCGTTTCTTCTTTCTTTGTTATCAACTTTTTCTATAGTTTCGTTTGATAAATTTGCAGCTTCTGAGCCTATCAAAACATGGGAGTTGAAGAAACATTTTGTTTTACAACAGTACTTTGGTATCTGACCAACAAATAACTACTCCTGATTTTTATTGCAACCAAAGCACTCCATCCACCCTTCCAACGTATTCACACCAAAAGCTGTATATTCTCCATCAAACTATGTACAGGTTTAACTGATATAGAGATAATTCTTCCGTATTGGAGTCAACCTTTATTGCACATACCCCATCCATTTCAGTGTGCATCAACTCGTCTATCACGTCTGGTGTCAAGCATTCACTAGTGCCATTTTGAATAATTGATGCAGCAAATAAATATATGCTTCGATAGAGAATTTAAATAGTATTCTGCATTGAAGGTAAAATACGAGTAAAAATGACTGAAGAACCACTTCGACTTTCAGGTTATTAAAAGGTGTGGTGATCACAACAACATATTGAAAGGTGTGTCAAGCAAAGTTAATTTTCATTTTATAAAAACTCCAGCATCTGAGTATAGCTTACTACTGTTACTAGTTTACATTGATTCGTAACAGCTGACTCAGAATTCCATATTCTGGTATTTCAGTAATTAAGCAATTTTGGATTTATACGTGATTAATGAATACAAGTAAATTTCCATCGGCATTAGGCGATGGTGAATAACAATATATGGAGAGAAAAAATATATATATGCTACTATATATCAGTGGATACAAGGTTAGAATGTGGTGAAATTGTTTCACCAGCATGACAAATGATCAAATGCAGTTTACTAGTATTACAAACTTATTTCCGCAATAATAAATATACTAAATAGAAACTCATTCTGGCTAGAGGATTATTTTTTTATTATCGAAGTTTGAAAACACTTTCAACAGACCATTTTCAGATCTGTTTTTTTCACTGAAGATTATTTCAGGCATTTTTCTTTGTTATAACTGTTTCTTGTTTAATAAATTTGCAGCATCCGAGTTTGCCAAAACATGGGACTTGAAAAGAGATTTTGCTACACAGCAGTACTTCAGTATTTAACCAATAATTAGCTAGTAATTGTTATTGCGACTGCGACTACTCCAAAATCTGAGAGCTGCACCTTCGAACCTTATCTTAAGCTGAGGCCTGAGGGGCTGACTGCATGCCAGATAATCTGTAAAAATACAGTACCAGTACTTCTGTAGGCCTGGGAATATCTAAATTCATAGTACTGTGCTATAATCCTGGTATGAACTTTCAATTACTATCCAATAAATCGCAGAACAGCAGAATTACTGCAGTACTATGCCCCTACTCCCACTTTCACAACTTACGGTATGGTACCGACGCAGGGATGACTGACAGATGCCACGGCCCCCACCTTATCCTAATGCCTCAGTATATATTTTCAGTTATTTCTATCAATAAAACCATTCCGAATACGCAAATAAATTTGAAAGGAAATCTCCTACCATAAGCTTCAGTATATAGCAAACTGATGACGTATCACGCATCGCTCATGCGTAGCGAAAGCG